ACTTACCTAAAATCGCCTTTATTTGATCGGAAAAGGGTTATAATGACGTACCTCATATGGCATTTACTTCATCGGAAAAGGGTTATAAAGACGTGTCAAAAATCGCCTATATTTGATCGGAAAGGAGTTGTAAAGAGGTTGTTTTTAGACACCTATACTTGATCGGAAAGACGTAGTAATAGTGCAACTACAATTTTAAGCTTAGGCATAAAAGGGTAGTAAACCCGTAGACCCTGACCTTTCCGGTAGAGCTTTACACCGTTGAAAAGGCTTGTAAAGAGAATATTCAGACCCATTTCCTGAAGAGTAAAAGAGCTGAAAATTGACTTTTTGTGCTGTGAGAGTAGGTGTATGAACCTGTTAAGCCTAGATTACATTTGAAATGTGATGTCCGTACGGTGCACGTATACTGCTCGTAATACCCTTTTCGTACGGCGTCTGAGCGGAGATAGACGGTGGCCGTACGAAATCGCACGGAATCGTATGGATTTAAGACCAGCGCTAGCATGTGATGTAGACATACTCGGCGTAGCCCGTAGCTCCTTACGATTTCAAAATAATTCGTACGGACAGTTTCATCGCACGGCGACCAAGTAAATGTAATTTAGGCTTGAATCTGATTGCATTCAGCGAAAGTCGCCTTGGAGATGGATCGATCTACGTAGCGAATTATGAAAATAAAATTAAATGTTTGTTAAATGATATTGGTCCATTCTTCCAGGTGATATTAAAACCAAAACTAACTGCACTGGGCTGCCTCGCATATTTGTCTTCAATTCAATTTAGAAGTGGGGTCTTTCCGTAAAAAGGAGCATTGGAGAGGAGTAATACTCTGAATGTTATTTGGAAGATGAAATAGAGGTTATATATTACTAATTAAGCAATTTCCAAAAATTAAATTTTTTGTGACTTAAATCATGCTTTGTGATTTGTGGGTCTGGTCATTGTCAATAGGTCAGAGGTCACTTTTGGTTACCCCCCTCCCCCCCCCCCAAAAAAAAAGCCTATGTACACTGTTTAATTTGATTCAAGGGGAATAGGTAGTTTTTAATACACTCTTGCTCAAAATATTGGGATGCATTTCGCCCTGTTTCTTTCATTATTATTGTTATTACCAAAAATATACCGCTTATATTGCTAAATATTTGAAGCTGGGGGTAAAGTCAAAGAGAAACAAACAATGCAAATCTAAGAAAAGCGTTTATTTATTTAGTTTTTTTTAATGAGTATTTTTTCACATAACAGCAACAAGTGAAAAAATAAACATAAATTTGTACTTTGATTGACAATTAATAT